AGAAGTCACTAACAGTGTGAAAACACAATGCACAGAATGGGCAAGGGATATTTTTCTATTTTCTGATAATCTCTTCAATATCCTTTTCCAATGTACTATAAATTTCCATATGTAAGTCCTTTACTTTCTTTGTTAGGTTCTTTCCAAGTATTTCATTTTCTTGGAGGCTATTGTAAAGGGTCTGGTTTCTGTAACTTCTCTCTTGGTGAGTTTGTTTATTGTATACAGAAATACGATTGATTTTTGATTGTCAACTTTGTCTCCAGCTATGTTATTGAATTTGGTTATTAATCTAGGACTGTTTTGGTGGAATTTTTGGCATCTTCTATTTAGAATATCATCTCATCTGTAAATAATAACGTTTAACTAATTTCTATTATATACTTATTCTTATTTCTCTCTTTTGTCTAATTGTTCTGCCTAATGTTTCCAGAGCTATATTGAATAGGAGTGGTCATAATAGTCATCCTTGTGCTTTTTATAACTGTAGAATGAAAGTTTTCAGTTATTCTCCATTTAGTATGGTGCTGGATTTTCATTGTCATTGTCTGATTTTTTTTTTGTTTTTGTTTTCTTTTTTATCAGTACTGATGATCCTACTCATGACCACACAATTGCAAGGCAGGTGCTTATTCCACTGAGCTAAATCCCCAACCCTGTCATTGTTTGATTTTATCAGCTTGAGATAAAGGTCATCTGTAGTTATTTAGTGTAGGGTTTTTATCACAAATCAGTGCTTGATTTTATCAAAAGCTTATTGTGCATTTATTGAGATGATCACCATGTGATTTTTGTTTTTGCCGGAGTTGATATGACATTTAAATTTGTTGATTTGCATGTACTGAAACATCCCTGCCTTCCTGGGGTGAATCCAAGTTGTTCAGGTTTTAAAATCTTCTTAATGATTTGCTACATTCACCTTGCTAGTATCTTGTTAAGGATTTTTGTATCTATGTTCATTAGGAAAACTGTCCTATAGTTTTCTTTTTCTGGTTGGGTTTTTCTATGGTGTTAGTATCAGGGTAATTCTTGCCTCCAGGAGTGAGTTAGGGAGAACAGCTTCTCTTTCAAAGTTATTAAACAGCAATGGCCATAAATTTTTTTCTACATTTATTGTAGAATTCAGCAGTAAATCCATCAGGAACTAGAATTTTTTTATGTTGGTCATTTGCTTTTCTGTTGTTATTGTTTTTCTTTTTTTTTTAATGTGCTCATGAGACAGGCTCTCATTATTCAGTTCAGGCTGGCCTTGAGCTTACTTTGTAGCCTTGTTTAGTCTCGAACTCACAACAATCTTTGTACCTCAGCCTCCCAAATTCTGGGATTACAGCAATGCACCACCATGCCCAGCAGCTGATAAAATTTTAATTAGATCTTCATTCTCATTAACTGATACTGTGTTTTGTAGAATTTTTATATCTTCTTGAATCAGATTTGGCATTTCATATGTGTCTAGGAATCAGTACAATTGTATATTTTTAACCTATGAAAGTATAAGCTTTTCAAGGAGATATTGATGCTCTTTTGAATTTTCACAGGATCTGTAGTTATTTTATTCTTCTGATTCATCAATGCATGGTTTTCAGTCTTTATTTTTTTCTTTTTTGATATGGTTGTCCAAGGGTTTATCAATTTTGTTTATTCTTTCAGTGAACCACCTCTTTGATTCATTAATTCTTTGAATTGTTTTCTTGTTCGGCATTGCATGAATTTCTTGCCTGGTCTTATAATTCCCTCCCTTGTATGGGATTTGTGTTTGTCTTGCCATTCTTCTTCTGGAAGATTGAGATGCAACATTTCATTATTTGTGTTCTTTCTATTTCCTGATGTGAGATTTGACTACTATAAATTTCCCTATTTGGACTACTTTCATTGAATCCCATAAGGTACAGGATTTTCCATTTATATTCTTTTTAGGTTGTAGGTATTTTTAAGTTTCTTCCTTTATTTCATCTGTCACCCATTGTTTGTTTGGGAGAGTGTTATTTAATTTCCATATACTTATGAAGTTTTTGCAACTTCTTTTACCATTATTTCCCAATTTAAAGACATGCTTAAGATTACTAGCCTAAGCTGCAAAGTCAATCAAGTAATACAAGGATTAAGTTGTTTTTGTACGTCCATTGCTATCAACTCAGCATGTCCTCTAAACCAGTCAGATGGTTGGTGGTGGGAGGAGGTGATTGGCCTCTCCCAGCCAATGCAGTGGTTAGCTCACAGGAAATGTAAGTTATTTTCTTGCTTTTCTTCTGAGAACCAGAATAGCTTCCACAGAATCACACTTGGGCACATTGGCTAGTTTCTCCTACCATTCCCCATATGACTTCCACCAGCTCACAGGAAGGGCAGATTAGCTTTCTAATTTATCCTCTCAGGCCTGGGATGGCTCAGGAGTGTTAATTATGTCATCAGGATGACTTAGTGGAGACATATCATGAAATCTGCATATTTATGTGTGTCTCCTTCAAAAAATAATTCATATGTAGGTCATTGATTGGAGTGGAAATCTCTTGAGGAAAGTTGTGTCATGTAAGAGGATTTGGCATTGGTGAACCAAAAAAATACAGTGGAAAAGAAGAGCTTCTGTATACTTAAATTGTCTTTAACAGGTTTAAGACAATTAAGACAGGTTAGTTTGATACTTGGTCCTGCCATCATCCAACAATACCATTTCAGTGCTGAGTCTTTAAAACAGATACATTTTATGTTGAATGTTGGGGTCTTTTCCTAGAAACCGAGATGCCAAAATGGTGTACCAAAAAGGCTCTAAGAAATGCGAAACACAGCATGAATTTCAGGGTTGCAGGAGGAGAGAGATCCTTGGCAGAGCTCATCAGTCTGCTAGCCAGCTGGCCAAATCATGCTGGCAGGAGTTGAGTGGACAATGGAGGAAACCTGATCAGGATCTTGGGAGAGGTTCAAGACCCTCTCAGAGCAACAGATGATCCCAACTGCAGAGAACTATCCCACAGAATGTGTCTAGGTGGCCTTGCCTGTGGCGTCTCCTGCCCCCTGAGGCATGTCTTCATTCTCAGTTCAATCATGCCTGTGCCACATCACAGCCCTGCATGAATATTCAGCTTCAATGGCTCCAACATATCCCTTCTATTTGTTTGTTTGATACACAGATGGGTGACCAGCAGAAGATGGAGAGGCTGTGTTAGAGCTCCCACCACTGCACAGTCCATCCATTCATAATGGTAGTCAGTTAGCAGCATAGCCAGTAATTGTCAGAGGATGTGGGTGATCCGAGATTCACCCACAGACAATATTTTACATTGCACTGTACCTCCAGAGGCCAGACTTTTCCGCAGAAGGTTCAAGCCCATGCTGACATAAGGACTGCACTAAGGACAATTGGTACGTTACTTCCTATCAAGGCCAGTTAGGTCTCCTCAAGAAAAATCTTATAACCTTGCATAGCTCCTCATATCTCTTCTGTCACTGTCCACCACCTGGAAGAGTTCGGGCCATTTCTTGACTATGTTGATTTCTTGGAAACCTTAGGAGATTATTCTGGTGATTTGTGACTCTCCTTAGGCACACCTTGCACCAAAGTTCATTTTCCTGTCTGGTCTCATCATCTTCCTGATCAGAATAGTAGGTACTCACTGAGTATCTTCTGATAAGGCAAGCAGGGCAAGCAGAATTTCCTTTACATCTTGGGTCTCCTCCAAGATTTAAGTGCTGGGGCCAAAATATTGGCTATCCATTTAGCCCATCTGTGTCTCTCATTTTTGGTCTCTAAATGTTAGCTGTTGGACATCCAGAAGAAAAGATTGATAACAATACAGTATATTAGAGGCAGTAAGCTTAACATTACTATTTTATCTAAACATAAAAAACCTCAGAACGTTAAATGTATTTTCTACTAACTATCGATATTTTAACATTTGAATACCTACAATGTTAACAGTGACATATTTTACATAGTAAATCAGAAATCAGAGCCATACATATTATTGTATCATGATATCCTTGCAATAATCTGAATTTCTCTTTTGACATAAAATATCCATTCTGATCAATCACCCTTATCTCATACCCAAGAAGTTTCTTATATATTATTGACCAATTTACTGACCTTTAGTGGAATGTGAATCTCACAAGTCTTTGGTTTTAGCAGAGGTATGAACATGAAACAAAAGTCTGCTACCATAAGTAATCCCCATTTTAAAATCTTGGAGGCCTATGTCTATAGAAATATGAATATATCTAAAACATCATGAATTTGATAACAATCAAGTGTCATAAACATGTGAAACCTTTACACAGGCATCTTCAATCCAAAAAATGTATTAATTCTTTTGATAATGACCAATGTGAACATTTTGAAGTACGTTTCATAACTTTAGTTACGGTGTCTCCTATAAAGCTATGGAAATCATTGAGGTCCTTGATCAACAAACAAGCACTGGTTAAAAATGTTACCAGGCAGCTGTTTTTTGATTTATCAATCAGAACCCTGTCCAGCAATCTCAGTCCTAAGGGATTTTGTTTATTCATCCTAATAATATCATTTCTAAATAAAGAGACTATCAAGTCAATGATAAATAACAACATATTCCATTCATATACCCAGTCTTTGTAACATTTGGAACAGCTGGCAAACAAGGTAAAAGCACACTTTATAAATTCACTGCCAAAAGAAATCTTTGATTATGTGATCCAGATATGGAAAAAGAAAAAGATTACTGAGCTCAAAATGAAAGGAACAGCTGTTCACAGAGTAGACAATTGGATAAACATAGACAATCTGTGAGGATTCAAACAAACACAGAAATGAGCACAGAGCTTGTGGGGGTCTGTGAGAACCCTTTAAGTTCCTCAGAGGCCATTTGTGTAGTTTTCCCATATCCCTTTGTTAAACTAGCTCATCTCTTACAACCCATGCTCCCAGTGCTGGAACACCTGTACACCTCAAGCACTCAGATTGTTACAAGCTGTTCTGGGCCACTTGAGCACTCCTGTATGGGCATATTTTCTTTTCTTCTTTACAGGTTTGAATGATTACTAGCTCATCAACTCCAAGCAACTGCTTACAAACAGACTGAACAAACAGACAACTGATATATGGACGGACTGAAGAACATCTCAAAATATCAGAGTGTACTTGAGCATATCCTTAAGCTCAATTACAATACCTTCTAACAAAGTTAGAGTCTATAATTATAAAACAATCAGTTGAATTTTTTATAGACCAACTAGCTGAGATCCTGTATAAAAGGAATTGAGGCTTGAATCAGGGAGAGCTGAAATGGTGGAATTATGACGAGGAGCCTGTGGTGCCAATGCATTCATGCAGGGCAAACACAATAAGCAGAAATCCACACAACACCTTGGCAATAACACAGAAACATCCCCTCTTCCCCAGATCAGCAGGGACAAGAGCCTCTGCCCACAAGGGTCTGGGGGGTGTTTTGTAAAATACAAAAGGCTTTGTCAGAGGTATATTCTGGTAAAAACATATTTGAACTAGGGAAGATGAATGCTTTGTTGGGAAAGAGAAGTGACTTAAAGTAAATAGCACCATCGACAGAATAGTAAGAACCTGAGCAGGAAGTGCACTATTCTTCTTTACTTGTTTCAAGAGAAGAGATTTGAGGGTATAATGAGCTTGCTCAATGATTGCTTGTCCAGTGGCATTATAGGGGATATAAGTTACTTGAGAAATGTTCCATGTGGAACAAAAGGAAGCAAAAGCCTGTGAGTTATATAGGTTGGACCATTATCAGTTTTAAGGTAGGAAGATATACCCATGACTACAAATGTAGCCAGGAGATGTTGAACTACATGTCGGGCAGATTCACCATGCAGTGGTGAAGCACAAATAAAACCAGAAAATGTATCAACAGAAACATGAAGAAATGAAAAAGAAATCAAGGAACAGTGTGTGGCATGTTCCAATGACCAAAGGTCATTGGAACAGAGGCCATGAGAGTTGAGAGCATCACAGGGAAAAGGGTGAGGCATGGCAGCACAATGGAAACCAGTGAAAATAAAAGCTTTAGCTTCAGAAGGTGGAATGTGAAACAATTTATGCAAGGAACAAGTGTAGTGGTGGAAAAAAGACAGGGCGTTTCTTAGTGTTATCAAAAAGAGGGTAGACTACAGAGTAAGCCCAAGGCCAGACTGAACTGCATAGGGAGAACCTGCCTCAAAATGGCCAAAAAAAGGAGTGCGGGCTGTAGAGTATATGCAATCCTTGATCAGAAATAGCATTATCTTGTAAGAAGCCAGGTAGGTATAAATGACTACATATATATAAAGGAAAAAGAGCAGCATTGTGAGGGCAAAGAGGAGCCTGTAGATGTAAAAAAAAAAGACACTAAATGTGAGCCCATTTCCACAGGAGTGATAAAAACAGAAGATAATTTAGATAAAAACTTAAGAAATAAAACAGAAGAAAACTAGCTCACTTCTTAAATTCCGTACTGGAATACCTGTTCACCTCCAGCACTCCATGCCCTCAGGACATTTCCCAGATGTTCTGGGCACTTTGAGCACTCCTGTAAGGGCACTTTTGCTTTCTGCTTTACAGGTATGAACAATCACAAGCTCAGCAACTTTCAGCACCTTCTTACAAGCTGACTGGACAAATAGGCAACTGATATGTGGACAGACTGACAAACATCTTATAAAATTAGAGTAAACTTGAGCATATCATTAATTAAGCCAAATTATAATACCTTCTTACAAATTTAGAATTTACAACTACAAATCAACCAGTTGGATTTGTTATACACCAACTAGCAATGATCTGGTATAAAAGGATCCAAGGCTTGATTCAGGGAGAGGTGAAATGGTGGAATTATGTTGAGTAGCCTGTGGTACCAACTCATTCCATGCAGGGAAAACACAACAAGCAGAAATCCACACAAAGCCTTGGAAATAACAGAAGCATCCCATCTTACCCAGTTCAGTAGGGGCACCAGACCGTGCCTACGTGGCTCTCAGGGTGTTTTATACAATATAAAATGCTTTGTTAGAAGGATACCCTCATGAAAATATATTTGAATCAGAGAAGAAGAAAGCCTTGTTGGGAAAGACAAGTAACTGAAAGTAAATAGCATCATGGACAGAATAGTGAAAACTTGTGCAGGAAGAGCATTTTTCTCCTTTAGTTGTTTCAAGAGAAGAGATTTCAGTGAATAATGATCTTGTTCAATGATTAGTGTGGCCACTGGGATTAGAGGGGATACAAGTTACATAACAATTTGCCATGTGGAACAACAGGAAGGAAAAGGCTATGAGGTGTAGGCTGGACCATTGTCAGTTTAAAAAAGGAAGATACACCCTTGACAGCTAATGCAGCCAGGAGATGTTGAATTACATGCCGGGCAGATTCACCAAGCAGTGCTGAAGCACAAATAAAAACAGAAAATGAATCAAAAAAAACTTGAAGAAATGAAAAAGTTTTAAGGAGGAACACTGTGTGTAGCATGTTACCATGAGTCATTGTAGCAGAGGCCACGAGAGTTGACAGTATCACAGGGAAAAGGGTGAGGCATGGCAGCACAATAGAAACCAGTGGAAATAAAAGCTCTAGCTGTAGAAGGTGGAATGTGAAACAATTTGTGCAAGGAACATGCTGATTGGTGAAAAAAATTGGGGCTTTCTTTAGTGTTATCAAATGAGGATAATCTCAAGAGCACCCTGAGCTGCATATAGAGACACTGTGTTGAAAAGACCCTGCACAAAAAAAGAGGGAACAGAATATTCAGTGCTTTATCAGTAACAGCATGATCATATCAAACAACAGGTAGGGCTTAATGACTACCTCTATGTAAAAGAAAAACAGGGGCATGGTGAAGGCAAAGAGGAGCCTGCTGTAGATGCAAAAATGAGACATTAAGTGCGAGTCTATAGCTACGGGAGAGATAACAAGAGAAGATCAGTGTGGGATAGCATTATGTACACATAAAGAGGCAGTAACTAAGTTACGGACTTGGTATGAAAAAAATTTGCCAAGCAAGGATAACACAGAGAGCTCACTGCATTGCAAAGAGGTTTGTGATAGTGAACACAGGTGTTTCCAAGTATTTAAAAACATATGTTACAGCTTCATGAAGGGGGGTTCCATCAGTGAAGACAGTGAGGGCACTATTTAAATGGGTGCTAACCAAAAATTTTGAAGAGAAAAGGGAAGTAGGGTAAATAGAGAAAAAAAGGGATCATGGGGCATATCAATAAAAATGGAACCAACATAGACAGCCAAAGCCACTTGCACAGGCTTTTTTTTTTGGTCCCAGGGATCAAACTCATGACTGTGCACTTGTAAGGCAGGCACTCATGTCACTGAGCTAAATTCCCAGGCCTGCATCTTGCCGAGTGAACAGCAGAGCACAGCAAAAAGGAAAAGTCAGCCTTGGTAAGTGGTAAGACAGTACTGATTAAATCAATTCCAAGGACTATAGGTGTTCCAGTACATCCTCAAGTGATGAGAGGGAATAGCATTGACAATGGGAAATACAGTATTGCCAGGTGAGTGGAGTAAAACAAAACTGTCATCTCCAGTGTGTAGCAAACCTGAAAGGGAAAAGTTGTCATTAATTAAAGAGAGGCTTCAGCATTCATCTCCCAGGGGAATAGCAGGAGCCACCACAGTAGAGCCAAATGCTAGATTTCCATGAAAAACATCACAAGTTTTAGAGGAGACAAGGCAAGACAATTAGCTGGTCTACAGATTTAAATAAATTAGTTGACTGAGTAAGAGAGATCACAATTGAAGCAACAATATGCCCATATAACCAGCATCAATGAGGCCAAGGATAACAAAAGTGCCTCTTTTTTGATGCAGGTGAACAGGAAAGAACTGGCCAGCTGTCTCAGGAGGTAAAGGATCATAAAAAGTAGTAGGAACCTTCAAAAACATACCAGTGAATTCCAAGCTAGTGTCAGGTTTCATAGAAACATCTTTTAAAGCATTTTTGTAGCCTTGGTTTGCATTTTTGTATGTTAATTGCTTTAACAAGATAGAGGCTACTGGGGCTGGGTGTTTAGCTTAGCAGCATAAGTGCCTGCCTTGAAAGCAGGAAGTCCTGAGTTTGATCCCCGGTACTGATAAAAAGGAAAAAGACAAAAAAAAAAAAGAGAGAGAGATAGAGAGAGAGAGATAGAGGCTACTGTCTTATTGTCCACCTGGCATGCAATAGTTTTATTTAATCTTCTATAAAGTCAAGGCAAGGTTCAGTGTCCTCCTGTTTGATAGTACTAAAAACCTTGAGTGTCCACTGCTTCAGGGATTCTTTTTCAAGCTTTTAAAGCAATTTGAGGATAATAGCCTGAGGGTGGCAATTAACTTGTTGACAAATGTCTGAAAAATCTCTCTCCTCTCATAATTCAGCAGCTCCTATAGGAATATAACAATCAAAATTATTTATAGCTTGCATGTCCTCAGCACCAGTATGTTCTTAAGCCAAACCTGATGTTGGGCTGGAATGATAATAGTAGGCACTGAGACTTTCCAGTCTAAAAGGATCATTTCACAATCATGAAGGATACCCTCAATAATGCCAATTACAAAAGTACTTTTAAATCCATATTTTTGACAGCCATTTTAAACTCTTGATCTTTCTTGTTTTTGTTTTTTTTGGAACATGGGACTGAACTCACAAACTTGAGTGTATCAGGCAGCCACTTAAGCCACTGAGATTACCCCCTGCTCCATTTAACTCTTAATAGAGTACTGCAAACTTTCAAATTGGGGCTCTTTTCCTGTTGATACAAAACAGGTCAAGCAATTAATTTGCCATGTTGTTTACCTTCTTGGGCCATCTTTTGCCTGGGAGGTTGAACAGGTGAAGAGTTGCCCAGATGTTTTACAGGGTTTGCATATTTTGGAGGCAGCAGCAAGAGGAAGTAGAAAAGCACCACAAGTGAGGCATCCAGGAAAACTGGGAAGCCAACCGTGTGTTGTTCCATGTGCCTGCTTGCCAAATGTCACCACATCCCAGCAAAGATACCAAGTGTGCAAGACAGAGAACAGAGCTCAGGGTTCCTCAATGCAGCAGTTTATGTATGTTTCTCCCAGTCTGCCACAGTGACCACACCAACCTCAGAATAACAAGCAGAATGATCATGAATTTCCCAAAAGAGG